CACACATTGGATATCCGCAAGGATAAATATTGTTCCTGTTTTAAGATCCTTTCTGGCCCTGCTGCTTGTCAGTTGTGGGCAGTCTGTCTATCCAGACTACCATGCCTTGGGTGCATGACCTCCACAAGTCCTTACATGAATACCTAGATGGTGGTCACCTTACTACTGGGACACTGTGCCAAGATCTTTTGTCTGTACCATCACTGTACTATTGATATTACAGCCCCTTTCTGCCAATAGACTGTCGTGACGATCCCCTTGAGAAGTTCTCTTTATTTAAGGTTCTTCAACTCAGTGGACATATTTGGGATATTTTATCAAAATGTCATCCGCACTCTTATGTCTACTCTTTTGGTGCAGTTTTAAATTTTAAATCTGTGTATTTCCATTTGACTTATTTTTTAATCTCAAATCTTACGTTTTGCGTAAACACCATTATTATTTTTTTTAAACAACCCAACATTTTTTTTTTTAAATCTTTCACCACCTTTTGTCAGCAGAAAAGTTTTTTTTTTTTTTTCTACCACTCTAAATTTGGAGGCCATCTAAAAGTTTCTAAAGTTTTTCTGGGAAAACTGGTGGAATTTACGATAACAAAGTATTACACATTTTAGATCACTTTTAGTAACATTTGAATAATTGATTAAGTAGTCAAATGTGATTAAAAATGATGGAATTTTGCTGTCCCTTTTCAAGACACTTTGTCTCCAGACAGGCAGCCTTCTGTGTTGCTTCATTTTTCTAGCTTCACTGGTCTGAGGAACCTCTTCTTATTTCCTACCGTAGGAACTAGTATGTTTACACAAAGCTCTACAGACATTGAAGGCCTCTCTTAAACCTCATCCTCCTTTGGCGTGCTTTGTTTTGGATAGAATATTTCAGGAACCCTCAACCACTTCCCCTTGACAACATGTTAACTAACCTGTGTTCCAGGTGTGGGAGATATCTACTGCTTCCTTTCCTACTCACTTTAATGGGCCACCCCTGACACTTTGACAACTGCATTCTATAAGTACATACTACTGTGGCTATGAAAATCTACCTGTTATTTGATCCGAGATTTCTTGCCATTTTCTTTGTTCAATATCTGGTGCCTAAGCACTCTTTCCCCAGGTTCTGACATTATTCGGAAAGCGCAGTTCTGTATGTGTTCCTTTGTGGTTTGAGACGTAAGAAACATAATAAAATGAACCTACGTTTTAGTTTTTATTTGGTACAACTTGCTAAAAAGGCAATATTTCAGTCTTTTCCTAAAAAACGTTTATGTAAAGAACTGTAAATCTATATAAAGGCCCTGTAACTACAGATATCTCCAACACACTCTGCCTTTGATACCTTTCAGATAGTTAAGAGAGGTGTATATTTGTAGCTCATTTTAGAAAGCTGGCCCTTCCTAAACCACAGTTGGTCATTTTGGGAGAAGGTCTAAACACAGTAGTATTCATACTTTTTTATTATTTGTTCATTTATCACAGTTTTTATGAAACTTTCAATAAAGCTGCCATGATTTAATTTTTCCTTTTTTAGTACCCGAGATTTAAAATAATACTCAATTAAAACTTATGCCACCAGGAGCGTCAGGCAAACACTCTCAGCATGCGACTTTGATGTCTGGTGAAATTAATTGACCCCTCTAGCACCCCTTGGACAGCCTTGAGCTTTGAGTCTCATGAAAACGATGCCTCTGGTAACTCACCACACTGCCACAATTTAGCAGTGCTGGTGCAGTAACTTTCCAATTATCGACACATTCCCATAGGCGTGGAGTGGGGGAGATGAATTAGTTGGGAAGTCACAGCATGTTCTGGTTAGAGCTGGGGCAGAGACCCTGTAACCAACGATAGGCGTTTGAAGATATATTTTTATTGTTAATGTTCAATAAGCTACACGTGTTTGGAAATGAGGAGAAATCCACTGTGTGAGGAAACAAGTCTGGGGTGAACATAAAAAGTGAGTGGAAAATGAACACTCTTAGCCAATCAATTACTGACCATCACTGGCTTGGGCCAATGCGGAACATTTAACCTGAGCAGCACAGAATGGTTCGACTGTGGACGCCCAGGGACC